CGGTGAAGAGCCGCTGCTTCGTCCTCCTGGACATGGTGGTGTTCTGGGCATGTCCCACGAGGAGAAGACCTCGGGGAAGACCCAGGACACTTTGGGAAGGACTGTTTCTCAGGTGGCCAGGGAACGTCTTGGTAAACCCGGAAGAAAATGAATGGATGGATTCTTGTTTTTTACAATCGTAGAATGATCTGTATTGAGTCCATATCAAGATATGTGGCATGATTTTTTTTGTCCATTTTGTTCACATGCACACACACACACAAACACACACCACTGATAAAAATGCTGCATGGTATTTAAAGTACACATATTAATTGACTTCTAATAAGATTTTGAGAAAACTATTGCACTTTCTGAATGATTAAAATGCATTTACAGTCTCATGAGACCTCACCAAGTCCCCATTTGATTTCTTATGCCTTGACCATCCCCTGACCTGATCTTTTACTGTCTCCCATTACTGCATTGAAGTCCAGAACACGTTGCTCGTTAACTGTTTTTTTAATAAGTTTTATTTGATTACAAGCACATCCAATAGATGTCCACGATACCTTTTTGTTCCATTTTGTTGCAGCCAAAATATTCAGCGTATTTAAAATCTTCCGAGAACTAAACGTCTCCGATAGTGATTAGTCTGCGCTCCCCTGCAGAGCACATGCATGTGTCTCATCTATCCCTGTTACCCGCTGCTCCACGGCTCCACTCGCTGTAATCAGCTTCTCTCAAAGACAAACCAAACTCTTTCATCTGAATCAGACCTCTCACTCTGTCGATACTGTCCCAGGACCTGCTCTTCTCCATAGTGGCTAAAAGCTAAAAATAGACTCAACAACTCTGGGACTCTCTGGACTTTTCACTCCCCTTACTCTTAATGAGGCCAGATAAAACCAGGTGGCATTGTAGTTTCAGTCTATAGGCTACCCATTGACTAAAAGTTTGCCCGTAGAATTTTACTTTCAACTTAGAATGTAGTATAAATATATATACATTGCTGAAACAAGCGAGAAATGCCAACTTTTACAACCTTTGGACAAGTTTGGCTCTGTCTGTCCTGAGCATCACTCCGTACTCTATCGATCGCCTTATCTCTGGAGCTCTGGCTGTGAATGTCACCATCACTTCTATTAGACACTAAGAGGAGATGGAATGTACCAATCCATATTTTTGAGTATGTATGTTAATGCTGAGGGGAGTATTCTTTTTTTTGGACAATTGCAATTTTGAGCCATTTTGAAACTGCCCATAGAAGCCAAAAGTGATGCCACATTAGTTTTAAGGATGGAGAAAGGCATTGTCTATGATTTGCACAGATAAAATAAGGTTTTAATGTATTTATTTTTAAATTATCTGCCTGATCAGACAAGAGCACTAGTGACATTTTTAAAGACATTAAAAACAAAGAAACCGTCACGTCAACATTCAACAAGAACACAACATAAAACAAAAACACTACAGTAGAACCCCAAACAGAACTAACTTAACATAATAAACACATGAAAATAAAATGATAGGGAAGAATACAATGAAAACATGTTTGTGCTAATAATACATGGATAGAATTGCACAGCTTTTTTTTTCATAAAACCCATTTGATTTGTTCCTGTCCTGTTTAAGTAAAAGGCTACAAGAGGCTGTCTTTATCTTTTTGGAAAACATTTGATCTTCTACATACTAAGAGCTGCCTGAGTGGTCCTCTCTTCACTTTTTTATATGAAAAACTGAAAAACTGAAAAAAACTTGCTTGCAAAAACGAGTGAGACTTTTACGAACTGCTGACATGGATTCTATTACATACTTAATAATAATAATAATAATAATAAATTGTATTTATAATGCACTTTACATTTGACACCAAATCTCAAAGTGCTACAAACAGCAGCATAAATAAAAGCAAACACATAAAATCAGATAAAACACTACAAAAAAAATTAGCAGTACGCTTTAGTAAAAAGATGGGTTTTGAGTCCCTTTTTAAAAGCTTCCACCGTCTGTGGGGCCCTGAGGTGGTCCGGGAGGGCGTTCCACAGACGGGGAGCAGCAGCCTCGAAGGCCCGGTCCCCGATTCTCTTGAGCCGTGTCCTGGGGGGGAGCAGACGGTGCTGTTGGCCTGACCGGGTTCTGCCTGAGGAATGTGGAGTGAGGAGGTCAGTGAGGTAGGTGGGGACATCACCGTGGAGACAGTGGTGGGTGTGCAGGAGGATCTTGTATTCTATACGGAGGTGAACGGGGAGCCAGTGGAGGGTGTGAAGGATGGAGGTGATGTGCTCATGCTTCCGCACCCTCGTCAGGACCCTGGCCGCGCTGTTTTGTACGTACTGGAGCTTTTGAAGGCTCCTGCCAGGGATCCCGATGAGGAGTGCGTTGCAGTAATCCAACCTGGAGGAGACAAAGGCATGGACGAGCTTCTCTGCAGCCGGGAGAGAGAAAGAAGAGCGGAGTTTTGAAATATTACGGAGGTGGAAGAAGGAAGTTTTGCAGATGTGATGTGTGTGATTTCCGAAGGAAAGGTGGGGGTCAATCTTGACCCCGAGATTGGTTACAGAGGGAGAGAGGGGAATGCTGTGGCCAAAGAGAGATTGAGGTGATGGGAGAAGAGTGAAGTTGATGGGGAGTACCAGTTTGAATGGCTTCTGTTTTTGAGCCATTCAGCTGCAGGAAGTTTTGCCTCATCCATGCCCCTATCTCCTCCAGGCAGGAGGTAAGACAGGAGAGAGATGCAGAGGGAGGGGCGGATGGAGTGACTTTGAGATAAAGTTGTGTGTCGTCAGCATAGCAATGGAAGTGAATTCCATGCCTGCTGATGACACACCCGAGGGGAAGCATGTACATGGTGAAGAGGGTGGGACCGAGCACGGAGCCCTGGGGGACCCCACAGGTGAGTGGGGGCGAGATTTAGCGTCCCCCAGAACCACATGCTCGGTTCGGTCAGTGAGGTAGGAGTGAAACCAGTGGAGGGCAGTGTGGGAGAGGCCAATGTGGTGCTGGAGACGATGTAAAAGGATGTTATGGTCAATGGTGTCGAACGCAGCAGTGAGGTCGAGAAGAATGAGGATGGAAGTGGAACCGGAGTCAGAGGCCATGAGAAGGTCATTGGTCACTCTGATGAGCGCTGTTTCTGTGCTGTGGGAGGGGCGGAAACCAGATTGGAATTTTTCATAGAGACTATTTGATTTGAGATGATTATGGAGTTGAGTGGAGACTGCTCTTTTGAGGATTTTGGAAATGAATGGAAGGTTTGAGACAGGACGGTAATGGGAGAGGGGCACAGGGTCAAGAGTGGGTTTTTTAAGTAATGGTTTTATGAGAGCTGTTTTGAGGGAGGGTGGAATGGTGCCAGTACCAAGGGAGAGATTGATAATTTTGGTTATTGTGGGACTGATGAATTTGGAGTAGGTTTTGAGCAGAGGGGTAGGGAGTGGGTCCAAGGTGCAGGTGGATGGTTTAGAGGTATGAATGATCTTCTCGACCTTCTGCTGCGTCATGGGTGTGAAATGAGAGAGACTATGTGATGAGGGGGATTTTGAAATGCCTAGGGAAGAGTCTTGTGTAGCTGTGAGGGTGGAACGAATGTTGTCAATTTTGGAAGTGAAAAAATCAAGGAAGTTATTGCAATTCGTTACTGTTGGGGTGTGATGGGAACGCAACTGAGGTTTGAGAAGATGTTGTATGGTGGAGAAAAGTTTTTTGGAATTACCTGGGTTATTGTTAATGATTTTGGAGAAATGACCTGACCTTGCTGATGAGAGTGCTTTTGCATAGGATTTCTGATGTTCCCGGTAGGCCAACTTATGCACTGTCAGCCCAGATGTAGTATAGGCCCGCTCCAGGACACAGCCTGACCTTTTCATGGCCCTGTGCTGGTTGGTGTACCAGGGAGCTGAGCGGGTGAAGTTGACAGTCCGGGTCTTCAGTGGGGCATGAATGTCCAGAATGGAGCTGAGGCTGTTGTTGTAGTGGTCCATTAGGTCTGCTGCTGAAGATTCCGGGGGAGCTGAAAGAAGTTGAAGGTCGTGTTTCGAAGGAGACAGGGTTAATGTTTTTAATGTTCCGAAAAGTGATATGTCGTTTTTGTTTGTCGAGATGGGAGGATGTGGGAACTGTGAAGGAAGTGACTAGATGGTCAGAGACACCAATGTCATACACCTGCAGGTCAGTGATTGGGATGGAGTCTGTGATAACCAAGTCCAGTGTGTGACCTTTATTGTGGGTGGGGCAGTTGATGAGTTGTTTTAGATTTAGACAGTCCAAAACCTGATTAAATTCAGTGGTGAGTCGACAGGTCAGCAAGTCCATGTGTATATTGATGTCACCAGTGATTAGGATGTTTTTGTAGGATGAGCAGAGTGAGCTGAGAAAGTCATGGATGTCTGAAATGAAAGATGGCTGTGGTTTGGGGGGGCGGTAGATCAGGGCTATTGTAGCAGTAAGTGGATGTTTACAGTTAAAGACCAAGCTTTCGAATGAAGATGTTGATGGGGTTGGAAGAGGGTAGATGAAGGGTGCTGCGATATAAAACAGCTAGGCCCCCACCGCGGCCAGTAGTGCGGGCCTTATGTAGGTACGAATACCCTGGGGGGCAGGCCTCGTTGAGGGCAGAGAAGACCCCTGGCTGTTGCCATGTCTCACTGAGGCACATAATGTCTATATCCCTCTCCGAAATGTGGTCATGGATAAGTCCGGCTTTATTTGACAGAGACCGAACATTAAGTTGTTCAATTGTCATGGTTCTTTTTGAATCCAGTCCGCTTAGGGGGTGCAGAACACTGTAGTCCACTCCGGGATTTCTCTCGCTCCTGTTATAAGCTCTGTGTGTGGCAGTGCTCTGATGACGTGTGGGAGTGTGACGTCGTCGAAGTGCGCCATGTTGTGCAGACAACAGGGATGCTATGGAGTTTTCGCCACCGTGTTTCAGGACTGTGAACCGGCGGCCCGATCCTCCGTGGATGCAACGTTGTCTGCGTGGAAGGTCCAGTGGTGGTGATCGTGGAGATGGACTGCTGCTATGGAGGCGCCATGTCCGAGTTGTTGTTAGCAGTTGTTGTTAGCGTTAGCCACAGCCTCCACCGTGGTGATGAGGGGCTCCAGGAGAACATGCAGCGGAGGTCCTCCAGAGACTGACCCACTGTGGGAGACCCGGGTTTGGATTTCGGGCTCCCGATGAGTCCGTAGCGTGAGGGCATCGGCCGCTTTGGACTATGCCGGACAAGTTATTTGTTGTGGTTTCAAACTAGATAACCTGTCGCTGGTTGAAATCTGCATTTGCTATGAATTTCTACCATTTAATTTTTTTATTTTTCCAATGAGTTTAATAATGAATCCCTACTTTTCTAAAGTGATTTGTTGAGATGCCTGAGTTTGTTTAAAGCCGCACCAATCACACACCCGTGCTCAGTATCCCACAACTCCTGACAGACTGCACACATTTGCCGAGGAGGAATCCGCTCTGAATTTCAAAACCCCAGGTCTATAGCTTCTCCATCTTCTCCCGGCTCTTGAATGGACTGCAGATAAACAAGGCGAGTTAGTGTTATATTCTCAAGAGAAAATGAAACAGCACAAACACACTTAACCTGGTCTTCTGTTCCTGCTGCGCCTGAATCAGCCAGTGCATGTAAACCACAGGGGCTGGAGGAGAGCGTGTAACTGAGCCTATGTGGGCCACGCACATCAGGGAGCAGGCTCAGATCACATTTGATGCAACATTTTTCAACATCCAACACAGTGGAGAGTTTCGGGTTGCCCTATGTTGAGTTCAGTGTTCATTTATTTTGAGTTGAATGTACATCAAGCCTTAATTTTCAAATGTCACAACATAGAGTTTTATAGCAACTCCTTCATTTATAATTCCTTATTAAAATATTGTGCATTATTCATACTCAAAAAAGGAGTGGGCGGAAAAAAAATTCTATGTGTGTTTGGAGCCAGTAGCAGAGCAATGTACAGCAACACGATGGCAACCAGCAAAATTGAGTGGCATAATGGAAATAGGAGTATGAATTTGGAACTATGTACCCGGGGTGTACATAGTAGCTACTTTCTTGAGACAAAAATGCTACTCCCTTAAGCCGTGCTGGGAAAAATTATATAAATATTTGCTTGAGAATGTCACTATCAACAGTCCTTCATCATCACATATATGTTACTAATGCACATAGTAAGTTTGCATTTACGATAGTTGTGAGTATACTACAATGTCTGAGCAACAATGTCTGAATGTACATTCAGTATCTTATGGAGTTTGTGACTTTCTAAATCTGTTGAGGAGCTTCCTGGGAGGGGCTGGCAAGCTACTAATTGCTCCCGAGATATAGGTTGGAGACGCCTGATGTACACCTATTATGGGATAGAAGAGGAGGACTTGTTTCTCCTAAACTCAGTGTTATTCAGAAAGAACTAAGCTAGAGATAGACCATATAAGTAATGCCTCTCTCCATTCCCTTGCTTTGGCTAAACATGCACAATTGACTTAAAATTAAATTGTTTGGTCCTGCCTGAGTGCACGTCTATACACCATTTCAACAAGGAAAAAAAAAAGAAAGTTGAGATTCTATCAATTCAGGAAGATAATGGAGATGATGGAGGATATATAAATGTTCTTCTTTTTAACCGTGCAGATCAGCCAGCCCTATAGCTCTGCGGTTTGAACCCTGCTCTAACAAGCTTCTCTTAGTGTCAGTGATTGGAGTAATTGAGCCGGTGTTGGTGACGCACACGGTTAAAGCTGCGTACGTCAGCCACATACATTAAAGAGTGAATGGGTAGAATGATAGATATGACACATTGTTCTTATCTATTTTTTATTGAACTGTGAATTGAACTACTATTTTAATACGTATGTTTGCAACCTGCACTTTTTATTGCGCTGTATTTTAATATGTATGTTATATGATTGTAATGCCAAGGACTACAGACGGAAAGGAGCACGGTGCTAAATCTGGTGCAGCCATCTTTTTTTGAATGCTACTGCTTATTGCCCTTCCTAAATTAAACTTAAACCGGTCAAATTTGAATGTCCTTTTCACAGAATAATCGTGTTGGGTTTGAATTAGAATCTGTGAAATAGTTTTGTGTTACCGTTGCACCGCGGCAACACTAGCCTTATGAGGTTAGACATGCTGTATATAGGTTTTAGTGTGTAACATAAAACCATCTATTGCTAGTATTACACTTTGCACTTGAGCGGAACAGAATTGACGCGTGGAGACGTGTTGGGCCGGCGCCTGCAGCTCCATCCTGCTCCATTGATTGGTCTGTTGTTTTGTCAGGAGGCGAAATCTGTGTCAGGACCTCTGCCCAGTTTTTATTGCACATGTCCAGATGCTATGTCAATGCTTTTGGGGTTCATGGAAGGTCTTCTCTGCTGGACCCATCCGTCACAAAATGCCACTTTTGATTCATGGCTCTTTGATGTTTGAAGTGAAGCGAAGGGTTTTAGCTTTGTCTGATTTTTCTTCTCCCAAACAAACACTGAGTTCAAGTTTTTGGGCATAAACAAAAAAAAATGGCCTCTTTGATTTTCTTACAAGTGTACTTTGAAATCTTCCACACGCTTTTACATTACAACTCTCAAACCCGTGGAGCATAAGAAGTTATTCATTATTTTTTTCCATAGTGAACATGACAACGGACAACTACCTTTCAAATGATTGCAGTCCTCTCACACAAATAAAAACGCAATAGTCGAGGAAAAAAAAAAAAATCTTATGTTGCCTGCCCATTTGTCATGAACAAAACAATAACAGATAATTGTGATGATGTGAGAAATACACAGAATAATCTCTTTCTGCGCAGGTTTGAGCAAATAGAAAAAAATGGCCGATAAAAAAAACAAAAAGCCATAGCAATTATAAATGTAGTGTATGCCTATTTTAACAAAGTCACCCTAGTGTTTTCTTACTTTAATCTACTTTAATCTACTTCAATGCAGTCTAGTAGTTGGTAGATCGCTGGTTTATCTCCATGACGATTCCTGTCCTATGAAATTACAGGCATTCTCATTTGTGTCAACTCAAATGTACTCCTTGGTCCTTCCCAGTTGGTGAAACAGTGTCTGGTTTTTTCCAGGATGCAAAAAAAATAAGTCTGGATTGTCCGAATAATTAACTGTGTATGTTTTTTTGTCGGTTGTGGCAGTCCAGTTGAAGGCGGTTGTGTTGTGCTTGTCTCGTGTCCATCACGGCTGACGCTCTGCTCTGTGTGTGAATGATCGCTTCACTCCTCTGTCTCGTCTCGTGTTTGGACGTATCACTCATGGCTGCTGATTTATCGACTGTACCGGCCTCTCGCGTCAGGGCCAGGCCGTTCTGCTCCGGGATGCCTGACCGTGATCCATGCCCAGGGTCCTGAGGATGGAAGGACTGAGGAGTGTGTATGTGTTGGCGTGGTCAGTGTGGTCAGTGTGGTCAGTGCATTTAATTACTGAGGTGGAGGAAATACACTGCAAAAAGTCAAAAATGTCTCAGAATTTTGCTAAATCAACAACATTTATGGACATTTTTCAACACTTATGGACATTGGTCATCTGCCCCTTATGGACCAATAAGGGGAAGTTCTTTTTCTTGTGTTTTAACAGTTTGATTCTCTGATCCGTGTTGACAAATTCAACGGTTATGTTGAATTCCTCTGAGTTAACTAATGTTGTGATTTATGGCTATATAAGACTAAAGTGAATTGAAAATGTGTCTTAATTTGAGCACATTTTGACTGCCTTAAAACACGATTTCTCAATGGGACAAGCTAAATGATCTTGTTTTAAAAGAAATGCCTTGAATCCCTTGATGAGAAAACACATGCTACAGTAAAATACTAAATGGCTTTGATTCATTGGCAAATGAATCAAAGCCATTTTAAGTCAGAATGTACTCAAAATAAGACAAAAAACAGCTTTAAGCATTTATTACATCATAATTTATCACTTGTGCACAGTAATAATAATTACAATTCACCAATGACACTATGAGCCAATGTTAATCATGTTTTTTTAAGTTTAATTATAGAATTGGGGAGTCCATTCATTCATATTGCTCTTTGTGAGTTTATGGTATTTTGAGCAACAAACAACGAACCAAGCCCAACGTGTTTGTGAATGTCATACTGTACGCTGCTGAACATGACGCAGCTCTGGACTAACCACAAAGAGGACAGTCTGCATAAGCTGCAAGTACTCTGACTCAAGAAAGCCACAATGATTTAGTGCCTCTGGGTTATTTCTCACCTATCATTTGAGGGAACACTTTACCGGCTGTGATGCAAACTTTAATGTAGGGCACTCTTATAATATATATAGTCGAAAATACCTCTGGGTCTTTATTTCAGCTTCCAGTTATTTCAGTTCTTTATGAGTATTTCCAGAGTTCCATTCAGACAGAATGAAGACCAGGCAAGCATCTTATATGACAGTCTGCGTCACGGCAAAGACGGCAACCCACAGATGTTAGCTAGTCCAAACAACAGAGTCGCCGTAACCTTAAACTTGATCACTTGAATATTATGTCTTGCATTTGTCCCATGTTCATTTTGTGAAAGCCAGCTCTCACAATATCTATAGACTAAAGTATGAATAGAATATATTGGCTCTGATCAGCTTCTACTTCACTCAGTTCAGGATTTGACTCTACTGTGGCTGTCTTTTAAACGGTTTGTTTTGTTATTGGCGTTTGTGTCTGTCTGCTTTATATTGGATTGTGAGTACAGAACAAAGTCAAATTGCATTGAATTGAAACGCATGTCTGTGTCGGGGTAATAATGTCAGACCACCATCACAACCTGAACTCATGTGACAATTTCTTTCTCTTTTTTTTCCCCAATTCCCAATTCAAGAATTCATCACCAGTCAATTTCCAGGAGTGAGTTAATCAAAAAAGATACATGTTTCTCCTGTTGAACACTTCTCAGCTCATCAAACCTGCTTCGCTTCAACACTGACAAATACTAAACACAGACTATTATTTGAATTGCAAAACAGGAACTACATGTATGTCTAAAAAGACCTCCGCTGACAGTGACACAGACTGTAAACGCCTTCGGCATAGAAACATTTGTGTTTGTAATCACGACCCTGTTCTGCAATTCTAATGACCAGCCCATGGGCCTGACTTTGGGGCGCCATGTTGTCCTTGCTTGAGCCCTGTCTTTGAGCTGTTTGTACGGTTCGATATACTGAGCCTAATACAGCACTTTGCGGCTGTGGCTCGCACGGAAGTTATTGATTTGTAACTACTTGGAGCAAATTGAAACAGACCTGGCACTTGCTGCTTTTGTGCTAATTCCAGTCTTAGCAGTGAAGTTTGCAGTAAGCGGTCATGTTTACACTATATGTTTTCAATATGTTGCATTTTCTCAAGAGATATTTCAATTAAATTCAATGTATTCTTGTTAGGGTTAGCCCTAAATCACAACTGGAGTTATCTCGGAGGACTTTACAAAACCGATGAATTTGCCAACACAGATGAGAGAATCAAACAGTTCAAACTCACAAAATGCAATGATAAAAACACAAAGGGCAGATGACCAATGCCCTTAAATGTGCGACCAATGTCCATAAATGATGACCAACGTCCACAGATAATAATAATAATAATAATAGACACTCAAAGACGCTTCACATGTTATTATTCCTTCACATGGTGGTGATAAAATACAACTGTAGCCACATGTGTGCATTGGTCC